GGGCACAGCTGGCACTGCATGGGCTGGCAGGGCTGTGCCAGCCCAAACCATTCAGAGAAGGATCATTCTGTACTCACTCTGTGCCACAGCAGGATCCTCGGATGCTTTCCTGGCCCAGTCAGCATAGTCATGGATAGCAGAGACCCCAGGGTTGGGGGCCAGGAGAGGACAGGGCTCATCCATATGGACAGTGGTGTGCTTCAGCTTTATCTCCAGAGGGGTGAGATACAGCTCCTTGTCTCTGTCCAATCTCCACTGTTCCAGGCTCAACTTTTCCACGTGAACTTTGAAAGGGGATTCTGTGAGTCTGGAGAAAAAAGGGGAGATAGACCAAGTAGCAAAAGTTCTGCATGCTCTCCATGCAAGTGGAGCAGCTCATCCTGCAGCTTGTCCTAATTAACACAACAGTAAAACATGACCCAAGGCATGAAGATCCTGGTGAGAGTCTGGGATTTGGAGCCAGGCTTTGAGACCTGGAACAACCTGGGGTAGTGGAAGGTGTCCCTGGCCACAGCAGTGGGTTTGAACAGGATGCTCTTTAAGTGTCAGAACCCAAACCTTCTGTGATTTGGTAAGTAAACTGTGACTCACTGAACTCTGCAGAGGCAGCAAGCACACCTTCACCCCAGCTCATTCCTCAGCACTTCACATATGCTGGAGAACACCCAGACAAGCTTTCTGGAGCACTTCAGTGGTGGGACTGGGCTATATTCCAGTCTGGTTCTGGTATGGAGACCCTAAAGGCCCATGCACTGCTGGATGCACAGGCAGTATGAAGGTGTCTGGGAGCTGAGAAGCTGAACTAGGACTTCCTCAGGTAGGGCAGATGTCCTCAGGGGGAATGAAGAGATTGGAAGTTTCTTGACAACAACTTCTCTTAAACCTTGTGCTGGGTAACAGTGCTATTTGTTTGATAAAAAAGAAAAACCAAATCCTCTTACTATGCTATTCCAGGATTTGACAGGGATATTTTTGTGGAGAAGGGTCATGAAGGAGACCTCCATGGCTAACCCCATCTTGCACCACTCCTGCATGTCAGAAGGAACAGTGACCTGCAACCAGGATTCTGCCAGCCATGCAGAGTGAGCCTGTCCCATCCATCCTGAAGGGAAGCACTACTCACAGGCTTTGGGACCCTGAACAATCTGGGGTAGTTATTCCAGGATTTGACAGCGATATTTTTGTGGAGAAGGTGAATGAAGAAGATCTCCATGGCTAACCCCATCCTGCACCACTCCTGCACGTCAGAAGGAACAGTGGATTCTGCCAGCCATGGAGAGCGAGCCTGTCCCATCCATCCTGAAGGGAAGCACTACTCACGATTTGGGAGCCACGGGGGTGGGCAGGAATCCATACTCCACGGGCTCCAGCTGCGCATCCTCTGTTTCACTGCAGCCGCTCAGCTGATCTCCACAGTTGGCCAGCGTCCAGTTGGGGCCCCAGCCCACGCGGAAGGAGCGGCCCATGAAGAGTCCCATGTCCATCAGGAGCTTCCCCTTCCCGTAGGTGATGGACCTCTCCAGGGGGACGAGCCCGCGCTGCCGGCGCGCCCCCACCGTCTTCACCTGCACCTCGGGCACGGCCGCGGGCACCGCGAAGGCCGAGGCCAGCGGCGACCACAGGGCGGCAGAGGGGGCACTGTCCAAAGTCCTGGGGCCCTTGGCATCTGCCACGGCAGCGCTCGGTGCCTGGGAAAGGACGCTGGCAAACTTGGATTGCAGCAGCCCAGCAGCTGGTGGGGAGAAGCAGCAAGAACGGTCAGTGGAAGGGCAGCCGTGTTCCAGAGGGCGTTGCTGGGCTTTGAAGGGATTTCAGGAATTCCCAGAACAGCCAGAGACAAAGGTCTGGATGGTGTGATGGGAACACGGAGCCAAGTGTGAGTGTGTGCAGTGCTGAGCCCCACTGACCCTCCAGCCCTGCCCACAGGAACACAAGGGGTGCTCCCAGGAAGGGAAAGGCACAGCCCCAGCCCAAACTGGGCCATTCCCAAAGGGGTCTCTGATTTAATGTCAGAATCAGGACATCAGCACAGAAGTGGGGTGGCACACGGATCAGCAGGGCTCACACACACCTCAGGGCTGCCCTGCCAGTCATGTGGGCTTTGAATTGACTAACAGATCTGAATTAATGGGTTTCCTCCATCAGGGAGCACCATCCTGCTCGCTCCCAGGGGTAATTCCTCAATACTCCCATGGAAAGCACCACTCAGTGGGTGCACTGGGTGCAAGGGGCAAGGTTTGGGCAGTGGGGGAATCTGGTAGGGGCTGCCCTGTGCAGGGCACAGCTGGTGCCCACCACAGCAGAGCCACCACAGGCCACCTCCAAACCACCTGCAAAGTTGGTGCCTCTGGGAGATCTTAAAAGGGGGAAAGAACCCAGACAAGCAGGAAAAAAAAGAAAAGAAAAAAAGAAGTTAAAAGATCAGTGCAAGCATCAGAGGAGGTGAGGAGGTGCTCCAGGCACTGGAGCATTCAGGGCAGGGCTTGTGCTGGAGCAGGGAATGAGCAGAGGAGGAAGGAGTGGCAGGAAGGAACTGGTGCAGAGCCCATGGTTTTGCCTGTTCATGTTAAAATTCACCCTTCTTCACACAACCTGTGGTTTCTCACCATACCTGAGTGTCTTTTCTGTCCTTGTGATTTTGAAATGGGAAGCCTTGGGGAGCAGATCTCTTGGGAAATGTCCATCTTGACAGGTTGCTTCCCAGGATAATCCAGGATCAAATCCAGGTCGTCATCATCAGCAAGCAAGGAAGCTTTCATGATCTGAGGATGTGGGAAGCCAAGCCAGAACATCAGCAATCCCTCCCACAGCTGCAGCTCACTAAGCTCATCAAAATAGCTCTTCCCACCCAAAAAAACTCCTACATGCAGCACATGACCAAACACAGCCACGCTGCAAGCATTCCAAGGAACAGTGGAGGCGCAGCTCAGGCTTGCTGCCTGATGGAGGGGGTTTTACAAACACTTGTGACATCAGTGCACAGGGCACGCTGGGGATGGGGGTGACATCCCACAATAATCCTCATTTCTTAGATCTCAGCTCTGTCTGCTGTTTGTTAGCTTAAGGAGTAACTTCTGGTCTATTACAGGGAGAAGCCCAGAAGTGTTCAAGGTTCTGTTCTTCCACAAAAATTACAAAGCTGGAGAGGAGAAGGGAGCCAAGGAATGGCTGCCAGTGCCAGAGGGCAGGGCTGGGTGGGATCTGGGCAATGAGGAATTGTTCCCTGGCAGGGTGGGCAGGCCCTGGCACAGGGTGCCCAGAGCAGCTGGGGCTGCCCCTGCATCCCTGGCAGTGCCCAAGGCCAGGCTGGACACTGGGGACAGTGGGAGGTGTCCCTGCCATGGCAGGGGTGGGATGGGCTTTATGATTATTCTCAACCCAAATCTTCTGTGATATTGTGAAATAAAAGCACCAATACCAGTACCCAAGTCAAGACCCATTACCCCAAAATGTTTTTATCTACCAAGGCAGAAGGGGACCAAGGCAGCTGCTCTGGTATCAGTTCAGCTTATCCCAGTGCCCACAGGGCAGAGTTCTGGAAACTGAGCTCTGGCTTTAGGGTGTTCCATGTCTGAGCTCTGGCTTTAAGGTGTTCCATGTCTGAGCTCTGGCTTTAAGGTGTTCCATGTCTGAGCTCTGGCTTTAAGGTGTTCCATGTCTCCACATGTGGGGTTTCCCCACAACAGAGGTATGGTGTGAGCTCAGTCCCACTCCATGGGATGCCCTGATCATTACAGGCTGGTGTGTGACCACCCTCGGGAGGCAAAAGCACCCTTGAGGAGTGCTCCCCTCATTTCCCAAGAGGAGCAGGGCAGGACACTGACCTGCCTCCCTGGGGACACAAAAGCACCCTTGAGGAGTGCTCCCCTCATTTCCCAAGAGGAGCAGGGCACGACACTGACCTGCAGCACGTAGGGGTTGATGCCCTGGGTGGACGCGATGTGCGTGGACGCTGGCACTGCCTCCTGCTCCTCGGCCAGGGCATCCTCTGCCAAGGGCTCCTGGGCTGGCTCCTGGGTGACGTCTGCCATGTCACTGTCCAGCTCCACCAGCCTGCCCAGCTGCTCCAGCTCCAGGGGCTGCGGATACAGAGGCCAGGTCACACCCACAGAGCACAGCTCAGCCAGCACAGCCACGGCTCCCAGGAGGGCTCTGCCAAGGCTGCACACCAAGGGCAGGGATGGACACACAGAACCTTCAGGGTGTGCCATGCCAGGGAAGGAGCAGTCCCAGAGCAGCGGTGCCCTCCTGGAGTTTTCCCAGTTCTGCCATTCAGTTCAGGGAACTGTTCTTCAGCAGTGGTTCTCACATGCCCAGCGAGGGAGAGCTCTGTGTGCCCTGCCTGCCTCCCAGATCCATCCCATGTGGTACAGACTCCAGCCACAGAGCCTACATTCCACCAAGATCTGCACTTCTCATGGATACTGCAGTGGGCAGGCCCTGGCACAGGGTGCCCAGAGCAGCTGGGGCTGCCCCTGCATCCCTGGCAGTGCCCAGGGCCAGGCTGGACACTGGGGACAGTGGGAGGTGTCCCTGCCATGGCAGGGGTGGCACTGGGTGGGCTGTGAGGTCCCTGTAACCCAAACCCTTCCATGATTCCATGGCTAACTGCTCACACAGGCTGTACTTTTGCCCAGCTGGCTCTGTGGGACCTGAGCTCCCTTGTACTGGTTTGGTTCCAGTTTAACCATCCCGTGACTCAGCTTTGTGTCCTGTGAAAGCCTCATGCTTCCAGCTTCCCAGAAAAAACACAGTAAAGTGAACTGAAGTGATGCAAAAACAGGAGTGAGGAGGCCTAGGCAGGGAGTGTCCTGGGAATCCTGCTCAGGAATTAAGGAGCATGTTCACAAGGCTGTGCTTAGCTCTGCAGAACGAGCCAGGATGGGGTGAAGGGTCTCAGCTGAGATAAAATCCCCTGTGGGGGGCTGTAAGGATAGAACTGAGTGGCAGATGCAGAATCTGAGCCTGGCCCCACGTGTGGAACAGATTTACAAGTCAAAATATGGTTACAAACACACAAGTTTCACTGCTCCCTTCATTGGGCTTTAATGCAGCAAGCTCCCTTTCAATATTAATAAATTCATTAATATTTAACTTAGTGAGGGAGGACAAAGCAAAAACCAAGTCTAGATACTAAATGCTTCTTACAGCCCAAACAATAGTATTACCAGATGTGTTCTCTGCCAAGAGTTTGGGACGTTTTAAGTGATGCTATGATGCTCCTTAGGGCTTAGGGAAACTGATGTTTTTCCTAATTTCAGAAATTAAAACCTAAGTCAATGTTATGCAAGTCAGAGAGGTTAATGAACCCGGAGGAGTTTTTGCTAAGTACACTGGATTGTACAAGAATATCTGAATATATCCGTGATATTTCCAGTGTTGCTGAGTGTTTAAAAGCTCAGCTCTGGTCCCCCATTCTGAACACGAAGCAGGGAGGGGAGCTGAAGTGATGCTGTTGGGCAGCCACGTGTGCAGCTCAAAATGCAAATAATTAAGGAGCCACTCGAGCAGAGGGATGGATGAGTGGGTGTTAATTAGCTGAGGAGCTGTGAGAGCTGGAGCAGCAGCTGGCCACTGCTCTGGGAGTCTCCATGCAGAAGCCAGCAGAGCTGGCAGCCCCAGCCTGCCCCAGCAGCAGATGGTGCTTTGGAATTGCTGAACAGGGAGCAGGGTCCTGAGGGCTCTCTCCCCTGCCTGGAGAGCTCTGAGCACACAAATGGGCAGCAGAGACTCGCTCTGGGTACCAGGGAGGAGCTCTGTGTTACAAACACACAACTGCTGAGGTGGGAAAAGCCTCTGAGCCCCCCAAGCCCAACCATGCCCCAGCACTGCCACGACCACCAGTGACTCCATCCCGAGTGCCACATCCACAGGCTGTGGAGCCCCTCAGGGAGGTGACTTCACCACTGCCCTGGGCAACCTGTGCCAAGGCTGGACAGCCCTTTTCAGGAGGAAATTTTCCCAATATCCAACCTAAACCTCCCCAGGCCATTTCCTGCTCCACCCTCCTGTCAGGAGCTGTGCAGAGCCACAAGAACCCCCCTGAGCCCCCTGTGAAGCTGAGCCCCTTCCCCAGCTCCCTCAACCCCTCCTGGGGCTCCAGCCCCTTCCCAGCTCCATTCCCAGCCCTGGACACGCTCCAGCCCCTCCAGGGCTCTCGTTCCCAGAACTGGACACTCTCTTTTGAGGTGTCACACAGTGCTCAGCACGGGGGACAGTCCCTGCCCTGGGGCTGTGCCCACACCATGGCTGGGACAGCCCAGGGACAGGGGCCACTGGCCTCTTGCCCACCTGGGCTCCTGCTATTCCCAGTGAACCAGATCAAACAGTGCCTGTGGATCAAACATTGCTGTGTAAGATGGGCCCAGCACTGAGGATGTTTTGCAAAGGTTTAAAGCAGTCACATCCAACACAAGTATGTTTACGAAGCCAGCATATAGCCAGCCCTACAAAAAGTATTATTTTAATAAAAATAGAGCACATTCTTAAAATGGAAAGCAGACAGTCTTGCACACTAATGGTGGTAAAGGCAACTGAGTGCACAGCATCACTGTCCAGGCAGGCAGCACACGGCGGTGGCATTACGGGCGTGCATTTAATAGTCACAAAAACAAGGGTTCTTCCAGAAGAGGTGCAAATCTGCCAAACTCAGACTAGAATTCAAACAAGAAACAAGGGTTGAAAGCCTCCCCGCCCCATCCTTAGTCTGCAATGTCAAGTGTCTCAAAGGAAAACAACACGCAGCCACTCAGGCAGAGCTCAGAAGAGTTTCTGGGAGGCTTCACTCTCCAGATTGCACGTTACTCCAACCACCCCCTTCCCAGGCACAGCTATTCTCCAAATTCCGTGTCATCAACCCCCTTTAGGCACTGCTCTCCTTCTACCTGAGCCGGGGGCGCTGGCTTGCCGTTCAGTGCCATCTGCTGGGGTGGCAGGTGCCCTGGGGGTGGCACAGGGGTGGTCTTTAACTTCTTGGTGTCCACTTTTAAAGGACGATCTTCCTCCTCCTCGTCAGAATCTTGCAAGCCATACTTGGAAAAGTGTGCTACCTGTGTTAAGGAGGAGGACAAACGTGTCACAGCTTGGAAGTGAAATTTCTGGAAGGCCTCAACACTGGGCAGGCATAATTGTGCCCTATACAGGCATCCTAACACACAACTCTTGGGACACCTGCAACAAATTCAGCCTCTCTACAGAGGCTGCTGTTTTAAAATTTATCAGCTGTCGCAGACTCTGGGATGACAGTTCAGTGCTGTAGTGCTTGGAAATTTTATGATTT